CCGGCCGGCGGCCGCCGCTGCCACCGGCGCCCGTGCGGAGGTGGGCTGACAGCGCGGGAACGGAGCCCGGGGGCGTCGCGGGGGTGACCGCGGTGGCGGAGTCTTCGCTCGTCCCGATCGCCTCTGCTCCCCGCGAGGGGAACAAAACCGAGAGCGGGGGCGGGCGGGGGCGATTAATTCCCCAGCGAAGAGGGTTTGGGAGCAGGAGGGTCTCTCCGCTCCAGTAGGAGAGGAGCTGGCAGGAGAGAGGTTGGAAGAGGAGGTGAAGGAAAGCTTTGACTTCAAGGTTAAAACAGAGCGCTCCCAAAACAGATGGAAGCGAGTGGGTTATCCCAGGTTTCTTAACGCAAAAAAAAAAAATTTAAAAAAATGCCAGAATAAGGGAATCGTTTCACATTATATCTGGTGGGTTTTTTCTTTTTTCTTTTCTTATCATTCCTATAATTAGGAAACATGATTTGGTGACCCAAAAAAATTCCATTATGCAAGGTCCAAGGGATTCTGAAGAATTACAGTAAAATCCACTCAGAAGTGTTGTTAGTCTGTCACAGGCTATTGGGATGGTTGGGTGGAGGTGGAGGACTGGGGGAAAGGAAGAGAACAGGGTGGGGGCTGGTATTCCACACGCAGTAAGTATTGGCAATAAGCAACTTGTTCTTCTGATCAAGTGTGCTGCAGAGACAATTGTTGAGGTTTGAAAATCAGCATGCATGTCAATTTTAATGAGGGTTGTGAAATACATTGTGCACATAGGGCAGGTATTGTAATTGACTCAAACACTACAGTACTGTCAATGCCAACAGTAAAAAGTCTTTATTCGTTACTCACTACAGCATTTTTTAGCACTGAAATGCCTGATTATCTTCAAAACTACTGTACACTTGAAATCTTCCTGATTGTACTTCAGAGCTTGTTCCAGCTAGGGTGTCCTTTGCTGATTCGTTTGAAAAACAATTAAAGCTGTGCTTGAAATCCATTTAGCCTGCTGATGCTGTTTATCATTCAAAAAACTCTGTCTAGGCAGTCAGTTCTGCTTCCAATTTTAAAAGCCCTATTTAGGCCTCTGCAGATTACTAGTCTGCTTCCTGAGATTTTGACAAGGATCCTCATCTCCTGACTGCTTTACAGGATCCTGATCTGACTGCCTTAGTGGAATGACAAATGTGCTGCCAAAGCATCACCAACTGGGGCAGCCTGCCTATGGACAGCACACAGGCTCTGTGCAGTATTTACAAACCTGGACAACACAGACGGTAGGATGCCATGCCAAGGTCACTTCAGCTCTTGTGATGAGGCTCTGGGAGTAGGCTATTTACACAGACAGGTGAAAAACAGCACAACAGCCAGAGTCCACTGCTCTGTCTTCATTAGCAATCTGATCAGGAACAACAGAAGGATGGATGCGCAGCCCTTCAGAAGTCTAATTTCACAGAGTCAGATAAATTTCTCTGGGTTAATCAGCCACTTGGGATCTTCTGCAAAGTGTTGTGATTGTTTCTTTGGATCAATCTTCTGCTCTAGCATGGACTATGCCAGGGGTATACTGAGAACTGGCCTCCAGGCAAGACAGCGTCTAGTTTTTCTCCCTTGAAATAAAAAGTAAACCCTTACTGCAGAATATTAAAAATATTTCCTAGTACAATTATCTTATATAGGGCTATCTCAGTAAAATTTTGCTGGCAGAAGTGAAACTCAAAAAACTAAAGTGAGGGCAGTAGAGTGTAATTGAGAACTGGGCAGAATCCTGCTGGGTAGTCACAAACTTGGAGCAAAACGTGGTTCCATGGCACTGTCACTTATTGCAGCTGCTGAGGAAGAAAACAAACACCCAGGGAGAGCTGGGGATGCCCTTAGGTTTAGATTGTTTTGATACCTTCTGGAAATGTATAGATACCTGCGTGAACTGAAATAGAAAAGTTGAGTGGCATTCACCAGTAATGATCTCACCACATGGATGTCGTGAGACATGCTATCACACAACCCCCTCTCAAATCCATGTCTGGAGTCAGTAGTTCTGCTACGGCTAGAAATCAAAGAAACTCCCCCTTTCATCAAATCTAGGAACTGAGCTGATCTTTGAATGATTTCCAAGTTTTTCAGAACAAAGAACATTATTAATACCTTTTGTCTCTTCAGAACAGGTACTTCAATGAAGTAACATTCAGTAAAGGTACCATCAGGTTACAAGATTTGTGGACATGCCATGCAAGGGCAAGAAATACTCATGGCTTCTAAAAAGATGCCCATGTTGTTTTTTCTAAGAAAATGTAGACATAGTGCCCTCCTGTCACACCAAGCCTGCCTTGGGTTGTATTGATGCAGTACCTGAGTGATGCATTAGTGCATTTACTCCCTGCAAGTGCTAAAACTAAATGAAAATTCACTTTCTCTAAATCTAAAAAATTAATTCTAGCACATCTCAAATTTATGAGTGGATAATATCTCCCTTAAATCCAGAAATGGTTATCAATAAATCCATAAGCTTAATACCAAATTCAGACTGTTGTCCTTGATATCTGAAAACCTGTATCATTTGTAGATTGATGAAGCCTTTACAAAACTAGACTTAAAGGAAACATAAAGCAGTTCAAAATAACAGTAAACAGTCCTGTAAGCCACACATAGCAGCTCTGAGTATTTGTTTATTGCTTCTGATATATGCCCTGCTTAATTTTAATGTTTTCTGAATTACAACTTAAGAGCTATTCTAGAGTTTTTTTGGTAATGTATTTGTAGCATAGACACACAAAAACTCGAGAGGTGCTTCTTCGTCACCAGCAGATGTATGCTTTTTAGAAAAGTACAGCTTTAAATGGTCTTTGATCTCTTCATAGAGTATCTGGTTTATATCATCTCTCTAAAATAACTTGATGACTCCAAGAAGGATTTAGTGGTCACAG